AGAGAGAGAGAGAGAGGGAGAGAGGGGGCTGAGGATGGTATTGACTGTCGTCCGTTAGGGAGGGAGGGGTGGAGCCCAAACCGCTGCATGAGAGAGAGAGGGAGAGATGGGTAGAGAGACACCGAGGGCGATGCTCTGTGGAGGGAGGTAGAGCCAGGCAGAAGGAAAGAGGTCAAGAGGGGGGTGGGAGGGGGAGGAGGGGAGGGGAGGGATGGAGGGGGTCATGGCTCATGGGTGGGGGCAGCAGGAGGAGAGGGTGAGGGAGGATTGAGATGGAGGATGGGAGGGGGAGGGGTGGAGAGATGGAGGGAAAGGCACGTTTTTTATTTTCATCATATTTCTACTCACTTCATCTTCATCACTAGACTCTCATCTTCATCACTGAGGAGCCGTCTTTAATAAAGCTTGGATTTGAATTGAAAGAGACAGAAGAGAAACTGGAGGGGGAGAGAGAGAGAGAGGGGGGGGGAGAGAGAGAGAGAGAGAGAGAGGGAGTATGAGTGTGTGAGGAGTATTCATGCGTAGAATCGAAGGCCGACCTTATTCCTGCCGCCCGACACAAATCCCCCCTCAGCTGAAAGACCACCATCACTGCCTCTGCATCCCTCCATCCTACCATCCATCCCTCCATCCATCCATCCCTCCATCCATCCATCCCTGCCCACTCTCCTCCTCTGCTTCCGTCACCATCTTTTCTCTGCACTCTCTTCTTCCTCCATCCACGCCTGCTAAACGAGAACAGGGAGCGGTCCTCCCTCCCTCCCTCCCTCCCTCCCTCCCTCTGTCTTTTTGCACATTCTCTCCTTCTCTTTTCTGAGCGACCACAGAGTGTCTATCTTTCTTTAGCCTGTATACCTGCCCTGTTCTAAATAAGAACATCCATCAAACTAAACAGACATTCAGAACTATTTCCCTTTTAGATTCAATGTTCCGTCTTTTCCTCCCTTCACAGGCTCGTTAAAGTCGTTGTAAATTTGAGTTCCTACCAGAAATTGACGCCCATGAAAAATGCAACTGTTCTTGTAAATAAAGAAACAAACATTACCATCGTTTTAATGATTCAATCACATCCAGACGATTCAATTATGTTCACAGCTCAACAATCTTAAATTTGGATGGATTCAGTGTCAGAATATGTGTTTGATGTCCAAATACTTTTGGCAACATGTTGCAGCCTGACATGGTTCTTCAGTCGTGGCTTCACTGATCTACTTTTCATTCAAGCTACAAAAACACAAAACCTACGATGGGTGCACCCGTTTCCTGATCTGACATAAACATAAATGATGCTGGAGACGAACAGTCGACTCGTCTCCTGCATCTGAAAACAACAAGCTGCAGCTCTCTCATTCATCCTTTACTGTGCGACTGGTTTGAACTTGACCTTTTTCTGAACGCAGCAGACAGCGAGCGGCAACATTTACCTTCCTGTGCACTAAGTCTGCACGCTCAGGATTAACCACTCGAAAAGCCGCCCGTAAAACAGCACATGAAACATTATCGTTCGCTTAAATCTGTTTCCCCCACATGAGAGTCATGACACCAAAGTTCAAGAGTTATGACGCAAATAAAACGGATCCATTCAGCCTCAGAGACGAGCGCCGCACAATGTTCTCATTCATGCAGAGACTCTGTCCTGCACACGCTCACATACAGCCTCTAACTTATGTGTTACGAGCATCAGGGAAGATTTAGCTTCAGTGTTTACATGCTTCCAAGTAATGAGCTCATTTCCATAACAATGTTACACTGAATCACTGAGCAGATAAGAAAAGCTTCACACGACACAAACTTTATTTCTGAACGAGGAAACATTTCAGAAATGACTGTGCCACCAACACGTGAAACCAGAATTACACCAGCTTCGTCAGACTCGACAGAAACCAGCAGCTCAACATGACGACAGACTTCTTCTCCTCTGCGCCTGCACCAATCAATAACTCGGACAACTCAAGTCCCTGTGTGGCCAAAATGAAAAGGCACAGGGACGGACACTTGAGGACACTGTCTCACCATTGAATCCAAATAGGTAAAGGTCTCTAAATGCAGAACGAGTCGACAAACAGTAAAAAACTATTTACAAGAAGAGAATAACTGACTAATGATATGACAGAATGCTCACAGACACATTAACACGTCTGTTAAGATCATATCAAGACATTACTCAGGTTCTACTCTGTCTTTGTCCATCTCCTCCTTCCTTCCCTCTCCCAGCCTCTGTATCTCTGGGACTGTGATGCATGGCAGTGTTTGCTGCTTCGCTCCGGTCCTGAGGGGCACCCGCTGTGTTTAAGAGGGCAAATGTCTCCTTGCATCAAGGACACACACTCTCACACACACGGACACACACAGAGTGAACGTGTGGTTAAAAGCTTGGTGCCCCCAGAGTGAAGCAGGACAGGTGGACCAAGACTCCCACCGTCAATCTTTGTTCAATCCACGATCCACTGGGACGAGGAGGAAGCTGCTGCATTAGCTGACCTGGCAACACACGTCTCCATCAGCGTGTGTGTACGAGTCCCTGAACGTCACCGTGAGCGCGTGTCGCTGTGAGCGTGTCCGACACCGGGTGTGTTTCTGCCTGATGTGCATTTCTGTGCTGACGACACGCAAACATCATATTTACTGTGAAGCTGTCGGCTCAGAGGAGAGAGAGAGGCCGGGACCTCACTGCACTTCACTGTCGACCGGTTTGGAAAGTTAGAAAAGTCCTTTCATTAAGATAATTAACACCAGAAGGACAAGCTGCAAACACGTGGACAGACTCAACATACATGTAAAACTGCCACGTGGAGCCGTCCTGCATTAATGTTGGATTTGATCAGAACTCATGTGGCTGAACTGAGCAGAGATTCAGTGGGTTTTAAACACCGGCCGCTGCCATTTACAAAAGGAAATGAATTCAAGGTCACGTGTTATTTCCACTGATCTTTTGTTTCTCTGGAGAGTCGAGAGACGTCGGGAACAGGAGAGGAATCAGACACTCGCTCTAAACCTGCACATTGAGATGCTTCAGAGGACACATGTGATTCTCTGTCCCTAACTGCTCATCGCTCATAATTCCACATAATCATTTCCCCCTTTATGCTTCTACGTTTGAATTAGAGGGCTCTTTTTTAAAATTAGACTCTGAACTGAACTCTGAATGACTCAAAGGTCCCGGTCGTGCTGGACCTGTGGGTGCTGCTGTTCGTGGATCAACCCTTCAACCACGGAGCTGCTCCTCTTCCAGTCCCACCAGGGGCCTGAGAGCCCGGGCTGAGGGAATAAAGATCCAAGCAACATCTACGGCTTCAATTTCAAAGAATTCTCAAAAGTTCATCTTCTATTCCAGTCTTCATCTTTTCATTTCTTTGTGCCAACAATAAAGTAAAGTAACATCAGACGACTGATGAATTATTCAAAGCATTAGATTCACTGCTGCTGCTGCAGAGAGCAGAGAATTCCCGATTTGAATGCAAATAGAAATTACAGCTGATATGACAGTGCAGATCATTAAGAAGGTTTTACTTCTGAGCTCTGAGCACCAACACTGAGATGATCCACTGAAGATGCTCTGAGGCCGTTCGGAGCAAAGCTTCCACCAAACACTGCACGTTGACTCAACAGTCATTTCTAATTAGACCGAGGAAACATGTCCCTGAGAAACTAAGAGCAACGGCCCTTTAATTAAAAACGGAGACATATATCACCTGAGTGTAAACGCTCAGCAGGAGCCAGGGAGCGTGTTTCAATCAATATGATTTAATAATCATCACCAGATATTTTACATTTCAGCCGAGCGCCGGAGGAACACGGACTCAACTCGGGCGGGCAGATTAAAAATCCTGGCATTAATTAAGCAGATTGTTTCTTTAATGTGGTGAAGAAATAAAGGCTGTGTAAACAGCAGCCTGGGGGG